TATCACTAACTACTGTGTGGAGTGTTTATATTTTTGAGATTGTATCTTCAAATTTGTATCTTTTAGTTTTATCACAGTATATAAAAATTTCCGATTTCTGGCCCGACTGTGAGCTAACAACAACAATAAACTAGCCATCCCAACCGGAAAAAATTTTTAAAACGTCAACAATGCGACGTTTGTCAAGTTGTGCTTGTGCTATGACTCTGGAAATGCCAGAAATCAATTCCAAAGGTCAGAGTGCACATCTATGCTTTTATCTGCTCAATGCCTTTTATTTCCCAGTGCTACTATTCTATTCAGTAGATGCATGTCCGCCACAGCGGACCTATGTTTTATAGCTACACTGTGGAATTTCCCACACTAGCTGGAAAGTAGGCCACTTTAGCCCGAGATCTCCTGCAGCAGTTCTCCTGTGGCAGCTTGTTGGTGCCAGGAGAATTTCCACAGACTTGCCTTAAAAATTGGACCCTCTCATGGATCCTTCATTTTGGTTTACTTTTGGGTGGGTGGGGGGTACCCTGGATTCCAGAGCCTTCGACAGTAAATAATGGTTCAACGGGGCGATTCTTTGATTGAACCGCGCCAATCACAAAACAGAATTAGTGGTTTTAGTACAGATTGGCGAGGTTCAATCATGTGATTGGCACGGTTCAATCAAAGAATCGCCCGTTGAACCAGAGCCTTCGCGACATTTCAATTTATTATTTACTGTCGAAGGCTCTGGAATCCAGGGTAGGTGGGGGGATGAGGCCATTGGAAATTCCGCATTCAAATTATTCAATGGGGGGGGGGTAGTGCTGTGCAAACTCCGGTTTTTCATCTCCGGCTCGGGCTCCGGCCGAATTACAGCTCTGAGCTCCGGCTCCGGTCACATCATAAAATATTAAATAAATGTTTTACGATCAGAGAACATTTATTAATTTAATATTATTATGAATAACCCTTTTCGCGCTTCTTAATTATCAGATAACATAACTCAGGAAACAAAACAGTGAAAACACTTCACCACGCAGAAAATATCTATATGGAAACCAGCCTTGAAAAATCTTTGACACGAGGCATGACGCGAGGCATGACGCTAACACTCTCAGACTCCACAGCGCAATTGTTCGCACGCAAACAAAGTACTCTGTCATTTTCAAAAGGTTGATATTTATTTGTTTTGTACTTTTTCGTTATCTACAAGGCATGAAATATACAGACTACAGTATGTAGAGCTAAGTCAGATGGCTTCATGAAAGCATGACGTTTGTAAGTTGCGATTGTATTACAGCTTTTTGACGCTGTTCCTGTGGGCTGTGGCAGTTTGAGTCTATGATGAATTCATTAACAGCAATTGGCAGTTCGCAGTAACTAACAATCGTTTGACATTTGTCTCATTTCATATTGTTTTCTTGTCATTTTGCCTGAGCCGGGAATACGTAACTCTGGCTCCAGGCTCCAGCATACAAAATTCTGCTCCGGCTCCGGCGTTGGAAAAACCGCCGGAGCTCTGGCAGAACTCCAGCTCCGGCAACTCCGGCGCACAGCACTAGGGGCAGCGTAACTACTATGGGTTCAGACCGGGAGAACCCGGGGGCCCCCAACCCCAATGGGCCAAATGGGGGCCCCCAGGCTCAGGCTGTAGAGCAAATACATTGGCAAGGGCCTCTGATATTTTATAATGTCGTTTTCTGACCATCAGAATTCTGTAAAATCTCTCCCCAAAGTCCGGGAAATGGCGCGGTTTCAGAGAGTCTAGATTCAAAAATTTTCCGGAAAACTCGTGCATATACGGCGCTCAACTCGTGCATTCGGCATTTCTACTATGGGGGGAGGGCCTTCGAAAATTTTGAACCGGGGGCCCTCTGATATAACGTTACGCCACTGGGGG